CATATGTATCACAGCTTTTTTACCCACTGATCAACTAATGGACACATAGGTTGTTTCCAGATCTTAGCTGTTGTAAATAGTGCTGCTATGAATATAGGGGTACATATATTCTTTCTGATTGGCATTTCAGGCTTCTCAGGGTGTATCCTAGAAGTGGGATCACTGGGTCAAATGGCAGTTCAATTTTTAACTTTTTGAGGTAACATCATAGTGTTTTCCATAGTGGCTGCACCAGTCTGTAGCACTGACTTTTAAAAATTAAGAATTTTAGCTTAAATAAATAGATTTAAAGACATACTAAAAAAATAAAATTAGAAAACTGATAGCTAAAAATGAATTTTAGCTAATGCCTTTAAAAGAGACATTAGGACATACACTAATCACACAAATGTCTGTAGACACTTTTAATTATTTCTTGGTAATAAAGCTAAAACTTATTAAATATTTTATTATACTATACCACATTGGTAACATACACATGGGTCTAAGTCAGAATCAAGGAGAAATAAGTATGAAATGAATAAGGTCTGTTTGATTTATATTTTGCTCCCAAAGATAATTTCTTTTAATGCTCCAAGTGAATGACCAACTACAACTGAACTGATGTGTGAATTCATTTTCATAAATTTCTTTGAATTCTCTAAGTACTAAATTTAACCATGGAAAACTAGACTCTTCAAAAACATGTATGCCTATAATTAAATGGCAAAAGTCTTATCTGTTGAAATGATAAATGGTTTATAAAAGTAGACAGTATCGGATGTGTAAATATGATTTATGTGTTCAAACATATGCTTAGTGTATATGTGTCTGGAGGGCAGTGATGTTAAGAAATGTCCAGCCGGTTTGGCTCAGCGGTTGGAGCATCAGCCTGGGGACCAGAGAGTCTCAGGTTCGGTTTCCACTAGGGGCACGTACCAGAAAAATAAAAAAGTCAGTCAAAGTTGGTTGTTTACTGCATGAGACGCTGCTTGAGAATATAATGCCTGAGAAGTCAAATGAGTTAAAGAACAGAACTATGAAAACTGTTCATTTTGTGAAAGCACAATAAACACTCATCAGATATATGTAGTATTGTTGTTTATTTCACATGTGGGACTATATTAATACTATACTCTTAGTCATTTCCCTTACTTTTCTTGATATTCAGAAACACCAATATTCTCTTCATTTGCCCAATGAGAAACAATAAAAATACTTATTTGCTTGTTCTCTCACCCTCTTCCTAAAATGACAGTTTTTTAAAAAGCTGCACAATCTCTATTAAATAGTAATGTTCCTATTACACTACCATTTCTAAAAATCAAGTTGGCAAAATGGAAACATTGCATTTCACTCTGGCATAACCATTTAGCCTGAAATTAATGCACATTAAGTAAAAAAGTTAAATGCATCTCAATATTCTTAGTGGTAAAAGATCCGAACACATCTCAATCAATAACAGAATTTCATCTTTATGTCTCTGGTATTTTTACATACAAAAAATTGGGTAGAGTATGACATGATTTATAAGTAATATTTTCAATATGTTTTTATTGATTTTTTTAGAGAGAGATAGAAACATCCATCAGCTGTCTTCTGCATGCCCCCTACTGGGGATCAAGCCGAAATCTGGGCATGTGCACTAACCAGGAATTGAACCCAGACCTCTCAGTCCATGAGACGACGTTCAATCCACTGAGCCACACTGGCTGGGCTATAAGTAATATTTTTTTCTTTATTGATTTTAGAGAGAGAGTAAGGGAGAGGGAGAGAGAGATAGAAACATCGATTGGCTGCCTCCTGCCTGCCCCCACTAGAAATTTGGCCTCCAACCTGGACATGTGCCCTGATCGGGAATCAAACTGGTGACCTCCTGGTGCAGGGGTCAATGCTCAACCACTGAGCCACACCAGCTGGTGTAAAAAACAATATTTTTAAAGCAAAAGTTCCTTAAGCATGATCTTAAACAATATTCATGGTAAATCCCTAACTGTTTTAAGAGATGACTATCATATCACCAGAAAAGCAATATTGAAGCCCATGGATTCCTACTAGATCATGTATCAGGAGGCAATACATTTACAAATACTTTGGCAACTACTTATATACATGTATTATTACACCTCTCTCATAGATATATATTCAAAGCAGTAAGGCAACCTATAAATTATTTAAGTGATTCACTTTGCAGATCAATTTATAGCCCCCAAATATTTAAGCTGATATATCTATTCTTTAAGAGAGAACTTTTCACTTGTTAAAAACCATACAATACCCTGGCCGGTTTTCTCAGTGGTTAGAGCAACGACCCACAGACCATTGCTCTAAAGAGTCTTGGGGTTCAATTCTGGTCAAGGACACATACCTGGTTGCAGTTCGGTCCCCAGCCCTGTTTAGGGTCATGTGGGTGGCAGTCAATCAATGTGTCTCTCACATTGATGTTTCTCTCTCTTTCTCTCCCCCCTCCCACTCTATCTGAACATAAATGGAAAAATATCCTCAGGTGAGGATTAAAAAGAAAAAAGTTCAAAAGTATTCACCCAGAAATGATGCCATGTCCTCATTTACTTCCAGGTAGGAAGTTTGAAAAATACCACCATCAGAGTCTCTAAACTCATTTCTTCTGTACTGCAATGACTGTTAAAGAACATCAGCCAAGTTAAAGACTTGCAGAGAAGGCAAATTCAAGCAGTGACTGAGCTAAAAAGACACAGAGGACTCATGTTTCATCATCCCTTCTACTAGTCCTCTATTTCCATTCATAAAAGACTAAATGAAACAGAAAAAGGGGGGGGGGGGACAGAGGTAGAATTAAATTTCTTGTATGTAGATTCATAAGCATAGTTGTGACTTCAAAGCCTATAATTAGCTGCATGCTAATCAATCACTAAGTTTTTATTAAGCATTTACTAATTTTCCCACACTGAGGGTCTGCATATCTGAGACACAGTCCCATTTTGGACTCTGAGATCCAGAATTAATGTACACCAGTAGTGCTGTTCTTCCTTTGGAAAAGCTTTCTTTTCTCCCTCCCCAAGCCTGATCTGAGACACAGTGCCTTGTAAGCCTGGGATGGGATGAGTATCACAGAAATGATAAATAAAAAGTATTTATTTAAACAAACAAGAGCAGCCAGGAAAAATTCTCAATGGAGTTGAAGGTGGGCAGGGGCATAAAAAAAAAAAAAGATGTGAAGTCCTGGTTTGTGGCAAACAGTGTGGAAAGAAAATGCACTTTTTTAATGTTCAAAATCAGTCTTAGCCTATGAAAATTCTCCAAATCTATCCATCTCTGAAGTCACTCGAACAGGGTTTCAATATTACAGTTCTAGTTCTGCAGGAGAGGGGGTGTTTGTAGGGATCAGGGACAAGGATAGAATAGCAATGCAATGCAAAAAGTCAAGATGCCGATAGGAAAGGGTGGGCAAAAGAAGGAGAATGATCTGTGAAGGTGAGAGGTCCAAAGTCCCGTCACCAATAGATTGACCTTACTTTTCAAATATTCTCAAACCAGCGGGTTTCTTTAACACTAGAGGGCATGAATGCAAACACACACACACACACACACACACACACACACACACACACGCACGCGGGAAACAGCAACCTTGAGCAAAGGCAGCCTTCATATAAAGCCAAAGATTTAAGGGTCCCAAGGAAACACGAAATTTCAAGGAGCAGCCAAGTGTCTTTAGCCCTGCAAGTAAAATCTCTGTGCTGTGTTTCTGGGAGGAGTGACCGATCTCTCCCTGGAAAACCGCTCAAGGATTGAGTGCTGTGGCAGTTTAAAGCAGGCAGTCTCCCAGTGTTCCTCCTCTAGTAACACCTTGGACTCTCAAAAGCTCCCACCCATTTGAGATTAGTTTCCACTGGATCCGTAAGCTTCTGGGTTTGTCTGCCCACTGCCTCTTCCCCTGTGGGTGGAGATGTAGTAAAGGGTGGAGATGTAGACTCTCCACCTGGAAATTCAACTGATTCTGGCCAAGGAACGGGGTAAGGGGAGGGGTGCCCGCAGCTTTCCAGGTCCAAACCAGCAGCCTCCGTGCGCTCGGGTTGGCAGCTGCACAGCGCCCTCGAACCCCCGGGATGGGAGGCTAGCCCTTGCGCCCTACATTAAGCCCTAGACTTCACAGCCCAGACAAGGGCAGGCTGCTTCCATTCCCACATCCCCTCTGGCTCCCAGCACGGTGGTTTCTGTACCCGAAGGTACCCAGAAGGCTGGCCAGGGTGTACTTCCCTGGCCGGGACGATTCGGAATCTGGGAACTGCTGTTCGGAGGACCAGGCGGGGCAGAATGGAAAAGCAGCGAAAAGCAGAAACGGAGAAAATACGGCAACACGGAGAGACAAGCTGAAGAGAGAGAATAACAGGGACACAGAGACATCCCACGAAAGGCAGAGAGAAGGAGAATGAAAGAGAAACAAGGAGATCCAGAGGCTTGGGAGAGCCAGAGAAAGCAAGAAACTGAGTTAGAGATAGAGAGACATAGAGAGAGAATGAAACGCAGGGAGGGCACTCAATGAGACAGGCAAAGGGAGGCAGAAAAAGAGGAAGGCAACCGTCGAGGAAGACACCCAAGATCTAGAAAGTCCCCAGTGTTGGGCGGTTTAAAAGCACCGGTGCACCCCGGTCGCCCGTAGCTGGTGGGAGAAAGTTGCTGGGGTGGAAAGGCCGAACCTTCCCTACTCCGAATGTCACTAAGATTCGGAGGGTGGCCAGCACCCCCAGCTCAGCGGGGTAGCTTGGAAAAGGGCGGACGGCAGCACAAAGTTCCGCACCTGGAGCCTGGCGGTCCTCCCTCCGCACCTGCAGCAGCAAGAGAAGGCGATCTGAGAGCTCAGAAAGCCACCTCGCCCTGTATGCCTGTGCCCCTGCCCCAGGACTGGCCAGGGGCGCTGAGCGCAGCTCCCTGCCACTCGCTGCAGGACTTTGCAGAGCCCACCCGGCACTCTGGCCACCCAGAGGGGACTCGCCCCGGATAATTACAAGGAAGAGAGGGGGAGCAAGAGAGACGGAGACCTGCTGTCGTGGCCAAGGATCCCGCGAAGAGGGAACGACGGTCCACGGACGAAATTCAGCCTCCAACCCAGCCAGGCAGGCACCCGCCAGCAGCGCTGAGTGCCGGGCGCGCCGAGCCCGCGCTCACCTGGAACCCGGGCCGGCCCGCGAGTGCCGCGCGCAGCCCAGATCCCGCCTGCGCCTCGCTTCACACTTCCCCGCAAGCAGAGCGAGCGGGCTCCGGCCTCGGCCAGCCCCGGAGAGGCGCCCTCATAGCGCAGCGGCGGGCTAGAGGACTCCGTGAGCGCAGCGAGAGCAGGCGCGGAGGCCGAAGAGGCGCAGGAAACCTAGCGCGGGGTCCTAGCACATTGTCACCTCAGCAGAGCGGCTGCTACCGCCGCCTGGTCACTTCGCCCCCGGCTCCCGCCCCCTTCCCACCCCAGCCCGCTTCCTCCCAGCCCCTCCTCCTCGCGTGGTCCCTCCTCCTTCCGTAGACCCAGCTAGGAGGCCTCTCACAGGGCTAGTATCATTTACGTAACCAGCACCCCCAGCCCTCCTCCCTCCTTCCCTCCCTCCCGCTCCTGCTCCTCCCGGGGCTGGGGCGGTGCACGCTGAGCTCGCTCCAGCTGCTCCTGGAGCCACGGCTAGAGAGGTGTGCACAAGTCCCGCGATACTTGGCAGGCAGGGCCACGAAGAGCCACCCTGGGGTCGGTTCCTCTCCCCCACAAACACCCAGAGACCTTGGCCGCCAAGGGGCCCCACGGTGCGGAAGCCGTCTTGCACCGCAAAGCCAGTGTTACCACCGAGTCTCGTGCAAGGACGTTAGGGGCTCCGGGACTACCCCTTGGGAAAGCGTGGGCTACCGCACCCCAGCCGTTGGCTCTGCAGTGGAGGGATGCTGCGGGGAACTTGAGATTTCAGTGCTCGGAAGCAGAAAGGACTGACCAGTTTGGCCTCTTGTCCATTACACTTTCTACACCCTGCCAGGGTCCTAGTGTGCTGCTTGGTAAGAGCTGGGAAAGCAAAGCGCTTCCTCGTGCTCTTAAATTTTTTAGGAAGAGGTAAAGTAAAAAGTGGGTCTTTAAATTTCTTTTCATCAGGAGGGTATGTTCTTACACACGCACCCTGAAGTACCTGTGTGCTTGCATTTCAAAAGTAAAGGAGCAGTAAGGTTAACTTGTTGTGTAGCAGAAAGGTCATGAGAACAGAGCCTGGCACAAAGCACAGACTTAAGACTCCCTCAGTATTAGCATTTGAAGATGGGACCTATCCCCCACTGCAACATGGGAAGGACTCTTTTAGGGGGGGTTGCTGAATTCAAGTCCCTGCTTTGTCATGTATTCACTATTGACTCTTCCTTAGTTTTGGCCCTTGGCTTTCTCCATTCTGTTTTCCTTTTGGTAAAAGGAAGTCAAGTAAGGGTGTTTCCCTCCACTCAGAGTGTCACTTCATCTGTCTCAGCTCCTTCCTCTTAGTTTGCTTGGCAAAACTGGGGGATAATATAATAGTTACCTCAAAAATATTAAGAACCACATTGCACAAACATATATTATTAATTATAATCTAGTATATCAATGAGATTATTGTTACTCATAAAAGGAAGTTTCTACAGATGTTATCCTTATATCAATTATCATCGAAATAGGTATGATAACTGTATTTAATGTATCTGCCTACATTGTCCATCCTGCCACCCCTTCCCACTCTCAGTTATGGAGCACCTACCAGAGGTGCTTCTATGAGTGTGTGAGGACACAGGGTGCCCCTCATAGCACCAGGGACACTCTGTAATTTCTCTCTCTTGCTCCCTCTTGTGAGTTACAGTTCTGCCATCAGACTACTCAGCTACTCAGCTCTGCATGGCAAATCAAGAAAAGCTAAGAACGAGCAGGTAAAAGATTTGGGTTCTAATGCTAGCACAGCCACTTAGTAGACAAAAATACTTTGAAGAATATAATACCCCATCCTTACATTCTTCATCTCTAAAAAAAAATAACACAGTAATGCCATTTTGCAATCTTTGTAGTAATATTTAACCATGGCAAGAATCAGAGATGTAGTTGGTAAAAGTTACGTGTATAACAAGACATTGACATCATCTCAAAGTAGCTCATTGGGAATGATTAGCTTTTATAGCACACTATCGCAAAACTCAGGGGCTTAAAACAATAAACTAAATCTATAATTTCCCAGGAGTCTGCGAGATTTTTCTGCTCTGGCTGGCTAAGTGTGTGCTGGATGATCTATCTACTATGGCCTCACTCACTTATCTACTGGTTGGCAAGCTAATTGGGGGTAGGGCTCACCTGGGATGGGTCACCTTTGTTCAGCCTGGTCTGGCATCCTTCAGTAGGCTAGCCTTATCTTCTTGAGGAGTGGTAGTTACAGGATTCCAAAACCCAACAGTGGAGTGGGAGCGCCATTTTAGAGCGCTTTTCAAGGTTCTGTTGACAGACATTTGCCAATGTCGCATTAGCCCAAGGAAGTTATGTGGCAAAACCCAGATTCAAAGGTGGAATAATATACTCCATGTCTTCAAGGGAGAAACTGAAAAATCATATTTCAAAGAAGAATGCACACACAAATGAGAACCACTTGAGACCATTTTTGTAATCTACCATAGGTTTTTCTTAATTACCAGAAAATAAAAAATTCCTTGCTGTGAATAAATCTGATATACATTATCTTAACCAAATGATCAAGGTTAAAATCACCAATAATGGAACAAGGTGACATCATTAGCTTCATGACGTAATGCACTAAGAAGTACACAATAAAATTTATTATGTATTCCAGACCAACAAAATATGCATAATTGACTGTAATTATGAGGAAGCAAAATGCAGATTTAAATTGAGGGAAATGCCACAAAATATCTTCTCTGTACTTTTCAAAAATATCCCTCTGATGAAAGTCAAAGAAAGACTGAAGAACTGTTAACAAACTAGAGGAGATTAAAGAGATATGACGAATAAATGCAGTGTGTAATTCAAAATTGGATATGGGGCTGGAAAAATAAATATGAAGGACATTATTAGGGCAATTGGTATATCACATATCTCATCTATAGCTTTTATGTATGTTAAATTATAATTAGCTTCATATAAACAGTAAATATCCTAATTTTGATAATTTTACTGAGATTACTCTAATGAAATATTTTGGGGGTAAAAAAAGGCATAGTGGCTTCAATGTACTCACAATAAATGGTTCAGAAATACCTTTTCAAAAATGATAAAGAAAATGTAAAAATTTTTTAACAGTTAGTAAATTTTGGTGAAGGGTATATGGTAATTTTGCAACTTTTTAAAAAATATTTGAAGTTATATTTTTAAATAAAAGGAGAAACAATGTTTATTTCTCAAGAAGATTAAATGCAATAATTTATATAGCTAAATGTTGAAATAAATAAAATTTTATAGTATATTTTTTCAAGTAAAAAGCTAGGAATTTGTCTTTAATTAGTGAGAAATTATTAAAATATTTATTTACATAAATGGGATGACCAACATTGTACAATTAATCAGCCATAGGCGTAGAGCCACTTAGATGGAGAGTCCACTGAAGACAGGAATATAAGGTTTAGCAGGTACAACCGACCTGGTTAGCAAAGGCCAAATTAAAATGGAGGAAAAAGGAGGGGGGAATATCTAGATACATAGATGGATGGATGGATGGATAGATGGATATAGCTGAAGTTGAAATGTCTGGTTGGTTGTGGCTAAATATTAGCAATAAAGGAGAAGGGGAATGTGTTGTATAATTTTGAGAGTTTACTATTGGATGAATAAGAGAATGGAGATACTATTATTATGAGAAACAAAAAGCAATAACTATTTTCTAAAATGAAAATCTAATAATATTTCTTTCTAATTATAATACCTCAGTGGATTCTCATTGCTTTTAGAAAATAGTCTAAAATCCCTAATATGCCTTTTGAGAATCTTTATAATCTAGACCCTGTACCTCCTTAATACCTACAATGAGCTAAGCACTGGAACAGAATAAAAAGAAAAATAAAGACAGCCCTCGTGGAACTTAGCGTTTAGTCCTTCATCCAGTGAATATGTATTGAATGCTTACACCATGGACTGAAAATGTGAGCAAAAAGGCAAAGACTCTGCTTTCCTGAATGCTACATTTCAGTGTGGTATATACTAAACAAACAAGCAAATATATACTTATATCAGGTGGTAAGATATTCTCAGGAGAAAACTGAAACCAGCTAAGAGCTGAGTTTTCCAACTAGTGTGCTGTATAAAAAATGTTTACAGATATCCCTTGATATATACTGATCACCTTACCCATCAAGAGTGGCCTAGTAGAGCAACCTCAAGTTGCCAGAGTCCATATCCAGCTACTATCCAGTCATAAAAGGCTTGTTCAGGGCTCTTTGGAGAATGGCCTGAGCAAGTCAGGTCTGAGAATATGTCCCATTCTTCCTGAAGGTGACATAATCAAGGAGGTGTCTACTTCTGGACATTCACTTCAGCATTCAAATATAGCCACTGACAAGGACTTATGAAATGGTTTGTGGATCTTTTTTCAGGGTGCAAGGAACATTTCATGTAGTTCAAAGTGTAGCCCATTACAGATAGCGGAGCAGAGAGTTTGGGCAGGAACTTCTAGTGAGCATAGCTCTAGTAGATGATCCAAAGCTCTAGCATTATAAATATAAGATAATTTTGTTCTATATACTGCTTATTTGCTATTTCTGTGTTAGCCTTGCCAATCGCAGATTGGCTGTTCTAACAATGCTTGAGCATTCTTCAAATGCAAGCTTTATAATTATTTCATTTTGGGGGGTAAAAATTTTGAACAGATCTGAAATCTATTTATATCGACAAAAATTCAAAATTACAACTATTAATAAAAAAGAAGGGCTGATGTGTTTTAAATATTATTTCAATTGATATAAATATTCAGCCCTAAAAGTAAATGTTTGAAATCTTTTTCACCTACTTGTGCAAACAAATTTCCTCTGCCTTGAAGATAACAGACTATTATATCATCATTTAAAGTGTCATGATTAGCAAATATTATAGTTACTTCAAGTATAAGATCTGTTATTAAATGTTGAGATCATAGAGACAAGATCTTACTGGAATACTTTTTAAAGATTTTATTTGGAGGTCTTATATAATCCAGTAGATCTTACAATTATATATATTATATATATTTATATTTATTTTATATATATATTTATATTTTTTCTTTATTGATTTTAGTGAGAAAGGAAGGGAGAGGGGTAGATAGAAAAATTGATGAGAGAGAGAACATCAATTGGCCAACTCCTGCATGCCCTCCACTGGGGATCTGGCCCACATCCTGGGCATGTGCTCTGATTGGGAATCAAACTGGCAACCTCTTGGTGCATGGGTAGACTCTCAACCACTGAGCCACACCA